AACTCCAGGACCCACTGTAATAATCAGTCTGGCTGGAGCATTAATGGTGGGTGTGGAGGGCAGCATCCCCTGACCCAGCAGGCCTTGTAGGAGCAGAGTCCAGACTCACATTCCTCCCAGCTCCATCCCCAGACAGGCCAGCTCTTCCAGCTCAGATTCTTGGCTGCCCCTTTCCCTCCCCTTCCATCCCTGCAGGCTGGAGTGGCCACTGCTGCCTCCTGGTGGCTGAAGCCCCGCCCCCCCCCCCCCTCCCCAGGCCTGCCTGGTGTTCGGAGGTGGCATTCATTGCTCTTCTTTGGGGCAGATAATGACAGCTCCTGTCAGCCAGCCTCAGGTGCTATTCCTGACCTGTCCTTGTTGTGGTTGCCAGTCACAGCCCCGGAGGTGGCAGTGCAGTGGCAGGAACCTTGGGATTACAGTCTGAGGTTTTTTCCTCCAGCCTAGCCAAGGGGCTGCTGGTGGTGATCAGGGTCTGGGTCTGAGACTCAGAAAAAGCCCCTTCCCTCCCTGTTTCCCTGTTTATGAAACAGGACTTTGGACCAGGTGGCGTCCAAGGCCCCCACCCAGACAGTCTGAGATACATTAGGAGTAGAGTCTCTCTCCCCAGGTAGTTCCCAGGGCCGCTGTCCCAGTCCAGATAGGGAAACGGAGGGCCAGACCGGGAAGGAGTTGGCCTAGACTCATCTAGGAAGGTCACAAGGGAAGCCAGGCTGGAAAAGAGTCCATGGATGTCTCAGGTTCGTGGTCAGAGACAGGCCGTGGGTGTATCAGGGGCAGGCTGAAGGGGCCAAGGGGTAGGGGGAGGCTGGAGGAGAGGAAGAGGGCTTGGCACTGAGTTAATAATCCCTCAGTGCTTCCTGTCTGGGAGCTGGTTCTGCTCACAGGGACTGCCTGCCTGTGCCTCTTTTACCATGTCACACATCTCCTGGTGCCTTAGTGTTGGCACGTGAAGAATGGGATATTCGAGCCGGAATTCCCTTTGAGAGAAGCTAGGTCTTATCCATTATAAGTGTCCCTGCTTCTGCTTCCATTCACACCAGTGTCCCACCATATGCTTGCATACTTCCAATGGCAGGGAGCTCACCATCTCCTGCAAAATCTTCTCGGATACATTGGTGGCTGACTCAATGCACAGTTCCAGGAAGTGAAGGGGGAAGCCCAGAAGAGGGGGTGTCTCTCCTTCTCCAGGGATGGAGAGGTAGGCTACGGAAGAGGAAATTGGGGCCCAGAAGGGCTGTGTGATTTGCCCAAGGTTACCTACAAGCTGATCCCAGACCCCGGGCCTGGGAAAGGCCAGGAGGTTGGCCAAGAGGGGGGCTCAGCTGCCACTGGTCCATCCTCCGCCTTGGTCCCCACAGGAACTGGAGCTAGTGGAGAGCCTGCTGAAGAGCAGACCAGAGGAGCCCGAGGGCTGCTGGGAGGCACGCAGCGTGGGGGCCGGGGGCCCACGGGGCAGCTCCGGCCGCCAGGAGCGCAGCCGGCTGCCCTGGGAAGACACAGCCACCATCGAAGAGGGTGCATCCAAGTTGACCGCCCTGCGGCTGCGGCTAGATGAATCCCAGAAGGTGCTACTCAAGGAGCGAGAGTGAGTCCTGGGAGGGAAGCAGGGCCCCGGGGGGTGGACCCGGCCACACCAGGGCACCCTCAGAATCACAGAATGAAAGTCAGTGTTGTGGAACGTGAGGCTCGCTGCAGGTGAATGGCACTACTAAGGGCTGAGTCTTGGAACTTTAGAGCGGCGTGCTCTACTGGAGGACCCAGTGCAAGGTTTGGTTTATTGACTTATTTTAATAATTCATTAGTTAAATAATACGTGTCGTGCATTTACTCTGGCAAACCCGTGCTCGGCAGTGAGGATACCGCTCTAAATACGACCAAACCTCCCCGCCCCTGGCCTCACGGAGCTTTTCTCCTGGCAGGGAGAGGGTGCCTTGGACAGTCAGGGAGGTTGAGGGGTTGCCGATGGGAATTCAGGTTTGCACTGGTTGAGTCTGAGATGACAGGGAGACAGCTGGGGACATGAGGAGTCTGGAGTTCGTGAGGTGGATCTGGGCTGGAGGTAAGAACTCAAGAGTCAGCAGTGAATAGGTGATACTGGTAAAGCCACGAGCCGGGGGAAGGGAGGTCAGAGACGGAGCCCTGGAGCCAACCTAGTTTAGAGATCAGAGGAAGAGCCAAGCAGGAGACGAGACAGGAGAAGGGAGTCCCGGAAGGGACAGGGAAGCCAGGAGCACCTGTTTCACTGAGGAGGCAGTGAGCAGTTGAATTGATCATGTAAGGAGAGGACTAAGCTCTGACCCGTGGATTTAGAACAGGGAGGTTCCCGGTGACCTTGATCAGGGCACAGGCCTGATTGCAAAGAATATTTTGTAACGCCCCCTTTTCTGTCCAGAAATTAAATGCATAGATAGTGTGAAGACAGAGGTCAGTGTGGTGCTTCTATAATCACGGGACCCCAACGGTGGCCCACAAACTCCCAGAAGCGAGGGCACAGATTCCCTCTCGTGGGCCTCAGACAGAACCAGTCCTCCTGACACCTTGACCTTGGACTTCTAGCCTCCAGAACTGTGAGACCGTAAATTTCTGTTTAAGCAAAACAGACAAAACTCAACCTGTTTCATTAACTGAAATTTAAAGCAGAAATGAGGGGAGCCTGTCATAAAATATATGTATCGTGACATGGAAATGCTCAGGCCCAGCTCCCCTAGAAGAAATAGTGAAATGCAGTGGACCCTTGAACAATGTGGGGGTTAGGGGCACTGACCACCCCCCGTGCAGTTGAAAATCTGACTCCCCAGAATTGGACTCCCCAAAAACTTAACTAATAGCCTACTGTTGACCAGAAGCCTTACTGATAATGTGAATAGTTGATTAACACATATTTTGTATGTTATTCGTATCATATGATGTATTCTTATAATAAAGTAAGCTAGAGAAAAGAAAACATTAAGAATAGGAAAGGAAGGGGTGCCTGGCTGGCTCAGTTGGTTAAGCCTCTGACTCTTGATTTCGGCTCAGGCCATGATTTCACGGTTCATGAGTTCGAGCCTCACATCAGCCTCTGGGCTGCCAGTGCGGGGCCTACTTGGGATTCTCTTTCTCCCTCTGTCTCTGCCCCTCCCTTGCTTGGGCACATGTGCTCGCTCACTCTCTCTCTCTCTCTCTCTCTCTCTCTCAAAATAAACAAACATTTTAAAAAAAGAAAAGGAAAGGAAAATATACTTACAGTATTGTACTGTATTTATTGAAAAGTGTGCATGTAAGTCGATCCGTGCGGTTGAAATCTGTGGTTTTCAGGGTCAAATGTGGCTAGCATCTGGTAACTTTATAAAGAATGATAGCGATGATAACCATACCAGCAAATACTCCGAGCCAGCCACTGTCCTGCAGCCTTATGTGTGTTCACTCAGGTAAAGTCACCTCCCAGGGCGGCTACAAAAACGGCAGGTGCAGGTGTGTGGGGTTAATAACTCAAATACACAAGTGCTGTCTCTTTGGTGACCATATTTCCTGAGAGATGAACAGCCATTGGTAGAGTTCTGAACAAAGCAGAGCGCGACGTTCCCTCAATTTACACAGCGATTCTGTTCCTGGGGAACACCACGTTATACCGAAGATACTTTCTGTTTATATGGGAATCAGCCTGAGGTTCAAGGCTCAGATCCTTTTCACACCCAGGGATGTCCAACAGGACATGCACGCGTTACAGGGATGCGGGACAGTTCCTGGGTGCACAAGATGTCCTGGGCGTTGACTGCAGGACGTAGGCACACCTTGTCCCTGCCCACTAAATGACCCAATCATGCGTGATTATCAGACATACCTCCTAGAAGGTGGCATTGTCTCTTCTGAGAAGCCCATGTTAGACGTATGACACGTCAAGCTTCCTGAGAGTGGTGGGGCGAAGGTGGGGGCGGGGCGATGGAGGCACAGCATGCTGAAGAGTGATGATAAGCACAGCTCTTCGTTGAGCACCTACTGTGTGCCAGGGCCAGGCCTTGTGCTCTTTACTCACAGCATCTCATGCATGCGCAGAGCAGAGTGCAGAATGGGGATCGCAGGAGACCCACCCAGGGATGATGACAGGAAGTGCCCCCTCCATCTAAGACCCACTGGACAGTATTTTCCAGCTTTTCCAACTCCAGAACCCTGTGTGCAAACCAAGCCTTACAGGGAACCCCCCAGTACATAAAACAGGAACAGACGTCATATTTGGTAGTTGAGCCTGAGACACTTGCCCAGGATGGCCACTGCCCTGGAGTCTCGGTCACCTCCCCACATCGTAAGCCAGGCACCCGCGGTTGTGCGTGGGGTTGGGGGTACCCCTCCAAAAGGAGTGCAAAAGCAGGGTGCCTGCCACAGTGTGGGGTGCCAGGGCCTTGAATGCCAAGGCAAGGACCTTGGACACGGACTACTCCTGTGCAGACCACCGGTGAGGGCTTTCAGCAGAGGGCCTCAGTGAGCTCACCCCCATGTCTGCCTCTCCTCCTCCTCCTCTCTCCAGGGATAAACTGGCACTGAGCAGGAACATTGAGAAGCTGGAAGGGGAGCTCAGCCAGTGGAAGATCAAGTATGAGGAGCTGAACAAGACCAAGCAGGAGATGCTCAAGCAAGTAAGTCCTGGAGCTGACGGTCTTCCTAGGAGACGCAGCACTGCGCTGCTGAATTTCAGCAGTGGGAGCAGGAGACAGGGAGTTCAGTCATTTCCTCGCCAAGCACTGGCTGTGTGCCATATGCTGTTCTGGGTGCTGGGGCAGGCGATGTCCCTGCCTTCAGAAGCTCACCTTGTGGAGGCCACGGGGTGGGGCCCGGGGGATACCGACAGTAACCAGGCAGGTACGTTCATAAGCTCTGAAGCACTCAGAATGAGAGAGATGGGGTGGTGGGTCACGAGTGTCCTCTCTAGGGGCGCCTGGGTGGCCCAGTCGGTTAAGCGTCCAACTCCGGCTCAGGTTATGATCTCACAGCTTATGAGTTCAAGCCCCGCATCAGGCTCTGCGGTGACAGTGCAGAGCTTGGAGACTGTCTCAGATTCTGGGTCTCCTTCTCTCTCTCTGCCCCTCCCCTGCTCGCACTCTGTCTGTCTGTCTCTCTCTCTCAAAAATAAACATTTAAAGAAAAAAAGAAAAAGAAAAAAAGAATGGCCTCTCTTGGAGTACCTGGGTGGTTCAGTCAGTTAAGTGTCCAACTCTTGATTTCGGCTCAGGTCACGATCTCACAGTTTGTGAGGTCGAGCCCCAGGTCGGACTCCGCGCTGTCAGCATAAAGCCTGCTTGAGATTCTCTATGTCTCTCTTTTTGCCCCTCCCTGCTCTCTCTCTCTCAAAATAAATAAAGTATAAAAAAAAAATAAAGTTCACAAAATCTTAAAAGAAAGAAAGGAAGGAAGAAAAGGAAGGAAGGCAGGCAGGCAGGCAGGCAGGCCTGCCTCTCTAGGAAGGTGATGTTTGAGGCAAGACCTAAAGGAATTAGAAGCCATCCTTGAGACCATATGGGAGCAGAGTTCCTGGCAGAAGGCACAGCAAATGCAAAGGTCCTGCGGCCAGAATAAGCCTAGTGTGTGCAGGAAACAGGCCAGTGTGGCTGGAGGGTAGTGAGAGAGGAGGTTACAGGGGAGCCAAACCTCACTGGGCTTTGTAGACTGTGCTGAAGGGGAGGAGTCTGGATGTAGTATTCATTGGGCACCTAGTGTGTGCTCTCACTGATGCCTCGGGGCGGTTGAGGAGGCTGGACCCTGATGTCCCCATTTTATAAATGACAAAACTGAGACTCCAGCTGGCAGAGAGGGGATTCCACCACGGTAGCAGGGGGATTCCGGGTAGGCAGAGATCGCCCTGGGGGGCCGCTACTGCCTCCTGTGCAGCCCCCTATAGCCACCAGGGGGCGCAGCCACCCAGAGAAAGCCTGTGGATCAGCTGCATTTCCAGAAGGTGCAAAGATCCAGACCTCAGAGCCTGAAACTGCCCTGGAGGCGACTAAGGCTGGTCCCGTGGTAGAATCTCTTGGGAAATATCCTAAAACCCTCACTGTCCTGAAGCAGCATCTTTGGGGGATGGGTCCAGGAATCTGCCTTTTTAATCTTTTCAAATTATGAAGTGGAATCATTTGCAGAAAAGTGAATAAAACATGAATGTGCAGTTTAGCAGATAATTATAAAGATTCTCTTTTGTAACTGGCTTCTTGCCCTCACTATTATGTATTTGAGGCTCATCCGTGTCGTTGCACAGAGTGGTAGTTTGTTGGTTTTCCTGCTGTACAACAGGGAATGTGCAACTCTGCCAGAATCACCCCAGGCGATCCTGACATGGCCAGCCCCGCACCCATACGCAGACCCTGTTCGGGTCTATTGTATGCATTCAGCCAGCACAGGGCTACCCAGGGCCGAGACCATCGGGGATACAAAGGTGGGCAGACAGGCAAGCTCTCTGTCCTCCCGAGCTCACATTCCATTGGGGAGTAGGACAGAGAGTAAAGGAGGCACCCCTTGTAGTTAGGGAGGAGGAAAGGGGCCTCCTTGAGGAGGGGGCATTTGGGCCAAAGCCTGAGAATGAGTAAAGTCAGTCCTGTAAAATACCTTGGAAAGAGTGCACCAGGTAGAGAGAGCTGTATGTGCAAAGGCCCAGCGGTAGACAGGAGCTTGGTGTGTTTGAGGACTAGAGCCTAGAGCACAGCGAACTAAGGGGAGAGAGGTGGGAGATGAGGCTGAGGAGAGATGGACGAGGGTCCAACCACGCAGGGCTTCATGAGACCATAGAAAGGAGGCGGGTCCTTATCCTAAGCAACCCAAAGATGGAGGTATGATTGGATTTGTCTTTTTAAAGAGCTCCTTCTAGGCTACTCTTGTGGAAAGTGGGGTGACAGGGGCCACGAGTAGACACTGGGAGGCTAGCGGGTAATGAGGTCGGAAGCGTGAGATGTCAGAAATGGCACAAGTGGTGGGATTCAGGCTCTGTTCTGGATACTCTGTGGCCCACGTGGGCCCCACCTCAGACTCTTTGCAGAGCGTTCCTGCACCAGAGCCCATCCCCCAGAGCTGGTTCCAGATGTACCCAGGTGGTTCTCACATAACCAGGCTGTGCTGTATCCTGCAGCTCAGCATCCTGAAGGAGGCCCACCAGGACGAGCTGGGTCGCATGTCCGAAGACCTGGAGGATGAGCTGGGTGCACGGTCCAGCATGGACAGGAAGATGGCCGAGCTGAGGGGTGAGGTGAGGCCGCGGCTGGGAGCCGGGAGAGTTTGGGACTGGGGGGAGCCGGGGGCATTGTCTCCATTAGCCGACCGCTCAGAAGAGGGCAAGAAGCAGGCCTGTGCGCTGAGGTGGGGACCAGCCACACCCCGGGCTCCAGCCTGCAGGGGGTGACGGGCCTCTCTCCCACACAGAGACCAGAAGCTCCCTCACATCCTGCACACCGTGAAATCAGCCCAGGTTAATTATAGCTGCTGCAGCCGGATCTGCTTCCTGGAGCCAAAATTGGCTACAGGAGGAGATGGGGAGGGGGAGCATCCAGCCCAGACCCTGCTGTCCCTTGTCCCCCGGAACCCTGACCCCGTCCTGCCCTGTTGTAGATGGAGCGGCTGCAGGCGGAGAACGCAGCCGAGTGGGGTCGCCGTGAGAGGCTGGAGACCGAGAAGCTGGGCCTGGAACGGGAAAACAAGAAGCTGCGGGCGCAGGTCGGGGACCTGGAGGAGGCGCTGGCCCGGCGGCGGAGGCAGACAGCCAGCGCGCTGGACTGTGACCTGCGGGCCAGCCAGGCTGCGCTTTTCGAGAAGAACAAGGTGGGGTAGCGGGTGGTACGGCCGGGGCTGGGGCAACTCTGGGGCCCCGTGCAGCCAGGGCAGAGCGCCTGCTGGGTGTCCACCTCCAGCCCACTGGGGGCCGGGGACCCCTGAAGTAACGACTAAGGACAGGTGTGGCAGTCGCCCTAGAAGCTGCTCCTCCTGGGTGCCCACCGGGGGCGAGGCTTACCGAGCACTTTACTGGGAGCCCGGCCCCGCGCCAGTGCTCTTTGTTCGTTGTGTCGTTTAAGCCTCTTAATCCTCCAGATGTCCATCGGGCACCCGCTGGGTGCAGCCTTGTTGTGGGCACTGGAGGCACGGCGGCAAACAGGCAGGTGCCCTCTGACGCCGAGTCCTCCCCCGTCTCCCCTGCCCCGCAGGAGCTGGCAGACCTGAAGCACGTGCACGGCAAGCTGAAGAAACAGTTCCAGGAGAAGGTGGCAGAGCTGGCACACGCCAACCGGCGGGTGGAACAGCACGAGGCAGAGGTGAAGAAGCTGCGGCTGCGGGTGGAGGAGCTCAAGAAGGAGCTGGCCCAGGCCGAGGACGAGGTGAGCACCTGCGGGAGCCCGGAGGGTGGCCTCAGACCTCAGCCGAGGTAGGAGTGGGGCGGCAGGGCCCTCCTGTGTCACTCTGCGCCGGGCCCCCGGTGCCCAGCATGAGCCTGACTCTCGGGAGGTGCCCAGGGTAGAGCGGAATGTGGGCGTCCAACGGATGGTAAATAGATGCGTATGTAGCAGCGTGGGAAGAAAAACGGGCGAAGAGATGAGTAGTTGAATAGATTAATGGATGGATGAGTGGGTGGATGTGTAGGAGGCACAGGTACCACATAGATGTGTAAATGGAAAGACGAGAGAGTAACTCTGTGGATGGATGAACAGAAGTATGAGAGAACAGATGGACAGGTGGATGGGGAAGGGAGGGGGAGGAGGGAAGAGGGAGGGATGGAGAGGATGTAACGATAGATGTATGAAAGGTGAGTGGATGGGTGGGTAGATGGGTAGGTGATTGGATAGATGGATGGGTGGATGGGTAGGTGAGTGGATGGGCGGATAAATGACAGATGAGTGTACAGATGTGTGGAAAGACAAATGACAGTGCAAAGATGGCCAGATAACTGATTGGATCGGTGGGTAGAAGGGTGAATGGACAGAGAGAAAGAAGGGCAGAAGGATGGAAAGATGGGATAATAGGTGGGTCTGGGAGAGTGGAAGCGGATAGACAGGGCGGATGGGTGGCCGGGTAGAATAAGCAGTGGTGAGTGGGCAGGTAGGTAGGTATCTCCATGGACAGATGCTATTCCACGGCTGAATGGTCAGATAAACAGACCCACAGGGAGAGACGGGCAGGTGGGTTGATAGCTGCATCAGTAGCTTGGGGTGTTGGAAGACGTGTAGACTTGGAAGGCAGGGGCGCAGCAGATACGGAGAGGAGCAAAGGGATGCTTCCTTGGAGGAGGTGGGCCTTGGTTTTGGCCTCGATGGACAGACAGGGATTGCTCTTGGGGAGGGCAGAGGAATGGCAGGAGTGGCTGGCCCAAGGTGACCCTCACGCTCTTTCCCTGCTCACCCACCAGCTGGACGAGGCCCACAACCAGGCACGGAAGCTGCAGCGGTCGCTGGACGAGCAGACGGAGCAGAGCGAGAACCTACAAGTGCAGCTGGAACATCTGCAGTCCAGGTGAGCCCGGCGTGCAGCAGGAGGGCCAGCGGGGAGAGGATTCCCAGCCGGGGCACAGAAACAGGGCAGAGAGACTTCCTCCCGGTCAGGGTTGGAGCCCCAAACTCCTGCTAGAGGGGAAGGCAGTGAAGGAAGAGATCCAAGACCCCTGGGGCCAGAATCCTGTCCCCTCCAGGCAGGAAGGGCCAGGGCCAGGAAACCAGGGAAGGGGAGTGCAGGAAGTGAGACCAGCTGGGCGCCCTGGAATCATCTCCTGTGACCTGCTGGCAGGCAGGTGGGCGGGTGGTGAGAGGGAAGGAAGGGCGGCCAAAGAGGTCGGGTCCTAGGTGGGGCAGCGGGCAGGGACAAAGGGTCTGGAGAGTCATGGCCCGGAAGAACAAGCAGCCCCCAAGGTCCCCGGGCTGGGGCGACCACAGGCCAGCTGGGAGCTGAGGAATCGGAAGGCAGGGAAGCATGGAGGAGCCCCGGCCCTGATGGTGGACCCAACCCATCAGCTCTGGACAGGACGCGACCGCGTTAGTGAAGGATGACCTCAGGGTCTCTGGGGCACCCAGCTAGCACTCTTCATCCTTTCCCTGACCACCCCATCCCTGGACTCTGTGCACTCTCCCCGGGGCCATAAGGTAACAGAGAGCCCAGCCTAAGCCCCTGCCTACTGTGTAGCTGCCCCGCCAGCCAAGGGCATCATGACCACTGTACTGACCAACTTCCTGTGCCAGGCCCTAGCCAGGCCCTTAGTGGCATCCTATTATTTCACAGAACAGAGACATACGGGCTCTGCAGCCAGGCTGCCCGGGTGGTGGGAATCTGCACTTAGTAGCCATGTCAGTGGTCAGTGTGGTCTTGCTTGGGTCACTTGCTTAAACTCTCTGTGTCAGTTTCCTCCTCTGTAAACTGGGGATGATACAGTTCTTACCTCGCGGTTATTGTGAGTTAAATGGGCTTATAAAAGTACGTGGCACATAGTAAGTGCTGCTACTGCTGTTACTGCCTCTGCCCCCGGGGAGCCCCTCGGGGCTGTTGGGGGGTACTTATATTTGGGACCCATGTTGTGCCTCAAGAACCATGCTCCTATGAGAGAAGGGAAGTAGAAGATATTTTGTTCTAGGGAGCTGGCAGACGAGGAAACTCAGGCCTAAGAAGGTAGGTGTCTTCACGGCCACACAGTGGACCAGTGTTCTGGCCAAACTGCCCCCTGGCCATCTGTGCCCTGATTTACTGAGCACGTGCCATGTGCTGCCGTGTGTGGAGTTTTCATGGCTGGGAATTCAGGCTATGAAGCCAGACCTGAAGCCATGTGACGTGGCCAACCTGGCCTCAGTTTCCCCGTCTGCCTGGGACGAGACCCGTAAAGTGTTGTGCAGGGGCCCAGGCACCAGTCCAGGCATGGCCAGCACTGGCCACTCTACCCCCACAGCACACACCCCTCAGAGGCCGCCTAGCCCCGGGCTTTCCCGCAGTGTTGGCCACATTCTTTGGGAGCCATAAACTCCCCAAATGGACAGGCAGGCTCTACCCAGCCTCTCAAGTGCTTCCAACGGGGAGGGCAGGGCTGCCCAGGACCGCTGCCTCGTTTTATTTTCCAACTTTTTGTGCTTTAATGTTCCGGGGACAGCTCACTAAATCACGGCCCAGTAATGGAGGCCCCCGCCGGGGCCCCTCCCTGCCGTGTTAATAATTCATGCCTTCCAGTAAGATGCAGCCAAGGCAGCCACTTGCTGGGGGATGGGCATTTCCTCCACCAGCCCTTGTAAATTTTGGCTTTAGGAATTTGAATGTGGGGAAGAGCGAGGGCGGAGCACTTTCTCACTGTCCCTGGGGGGGTAGGGGACTCAGACCCCCAGCCCCAAACTCTCTGCCTGTGATCTTTGGAGCCTGACGTGGGTTCAAATCCCAGCAGTATGACCCTAAGCGGCTACTTTACCTCTCCAGCCCCAGCCCACCGTGGAGCCCAGCCTCACTCACTACTGTCCGGGGGACTAGGCAGATTACTTGGCTGCTCTGTGCCTCAGTTTCCTTGTCTGCCAAACGGGGATGAAGTAGCATCTCCCTCACCTCCGTGGTTTCTGGGAGGATGATGGGTGATGAGGTGATGGATGAAAAAGGCCCAGCCTGGGGCCTGGCAGCAGGGAAGTGCTAGGGAAGGCTTGGCCGCTTGCAGCTGACAGACTCCCCTGACCGTCCTGTCACCCGGCCCCACAGGCTCCGAAGGCAGCAGCAGAACGCCCCCCTCTTCGGGAAGATCCGAAGCGCTCGCTTCGGCACTGAGGAAGCCGGGGACGGAGCCAGCGACCTGGATGAGGATGAGGACCTGCAGATCCAGGTGGCCTAGAGCTCCCAGGGCCGGACAGGACTGGCCCGTGGCCACAGGCCCCTGGGTGCCTAGGCGGACCGGCCGCTCGGACTGGTGCAGCCACCCGTGTTCCCCGCCACGGCTGACTTCCTCCTCTCCCAGGGTGGGGGTCAACCGTCCCACCCTAGCAACACCTCTTGGAAGGGAAGCCATCGCCTGTGTTTTATACATGTATATTTTATGTATGTGCGCGGGGTCCTTGGACCCATCTGATGTTATAAAAACAGGACCGCTCCCGGGCCCGGTCTCCACACCCGCATCCACCCAGGACCTTCATGCAGGGGCGAGGGGGATGGCAAGGGGGGCTGTTGGGGCCTCGACCCAGGCTGCCTCTCTGAAGCTTGGGGGTCAGGTGGAGCTGTTTATAGTACAATGTGATAAACTCAGCCTTTTGTAATAAACCGAGTTTGGGTTCTCAGGGCAGAGTCCTGAGAGTGTGGCAGATGTGGGCAGCTGGTGTAGGGGACAGCACCAGCCTGCACCTGCCACCTAGCCCGAGCTCAGGAATGTCAAGTTATGTAATGAATGACTGAATATGCAAAAGAATGAATGAATGAACATCTGAGCTGCTAAATGGTCGGGAATCCGGCTCCCATGAGGGGAAGGAAGAGGTACAGTGTGTGTCTAATCTGAGAAGAAGAGACTTCTATTCTGCTCCGGATGGATTCAGATCTCTGCCTCTGCCCCTTCCTGGCTGTGCAACCATGGGGAAGTACCTGACCTCTCTGAGCCTCAGTTTCTCCATCTGTAAATTAGACATCTCATACAGCTATCGTGAGAATAAGATGAGTTCATCTGGAGCTCAGTAAAGGTTAGTTCTTATTGAAATACGTGAAGGTGTGCGCCAGAGAGGGGGGATTTGCCCGCTGGGTTCTGCCGCATGGGATGAAGTTCAGGTGACCAGAGGTAGGTGTAAACACAATAAATAATAAATCCTTGTATCTTTACCCCAGCCCTGCTCTAGGTAATGAAATTGCAGGTAGTTTCCATGTTATTTTTGATACTTAATGTCTAAACCCTCTATAACCAGCAGATTTACGTTAAATCTGGTAGAAACTTATCAAAACACAATAGCATACATTTTTGAATCTGCAAGTCTAGGTGGCATTGAGACACCTGCCCTTGGATGAATTCTCAGCAGCAGGCCTGCTTTCTGCAGAAAGAGGCTCCGTCAACATTGTGTTTTAGCAGGCAGAAGGGGTGAGTTCCCTGTGCTCAGGGGGTATGCAAGGAGCAGTTGTGGCTCTGAGCAGGGGCCTGGCACCAAAGAGGAGTTCGCTTCAATTGGGAAAGAGACTCTGTGGCTGTGGTGGGGAGCTGCACCCCGTGCTTTCTCTCTTGTGGCCCAGTCTGAGGGGGCCCCCAAGGCCCCAGTGCTGGGCCGTAAGGGGTGTCAGGAGCCCAGCTGGTGATCAGTGACCTAGCAGTGCTGGTGAGGTGGGATTTGCTATCGTGGCGGAGAGGCCTCAGGTTCCCTCCTGGGCTCCAAGGGCAAAGGAAGGAGTGGGTGAGACCCAGCCATGGGGAGCCCCCCTCCCTCCACCATGGGTCTTTCCCCACAGGCCAGAGCCAGTGGAAAAAGCGGAAAAAGCACTGTGGGGAGAAGGGAAGAAGACCCATTTCCTGCTGGGGCCTTTCTGTTTTCTCTCCCAAACAGGAAGTCAGTCCCAGAAGGGGCTGAAATGCTGCCTGCCCTTTGACCCCCAGGAGCCAGGCCCTCACTGACAGCAGCCCTGAGAGCCGCCTCCCCAGGCCCCGGGCAGACCCCATTCCAGCCCGGCTGCGCTCCCGAGAACGGCAGTGAGGAGAGGGTCTGGCCTCCCCCATCAGCCTCCAAGGGAAGATCAAAGTCT